GTGGCATGACTAAAAAAAACAACCCCTAGTTTAAATCTTTTAAATTACTTCGCCTTCTCCCTCTCATTAGTAAATATTTTAGTTAGTCTTGTGTTGAACAAACCCTGCTTTCAGGGTCTCTCTTTCTGTCTCTCTCATTAACGTTCTTTTTTTATTTTTAACGAGTCGTAAAAATCCAGTTATTTTTAAAATTCACATTTTGTGTGATCTAAAGGGCTGAAGAAAGAGGGAAAAAAAAAAAACCCAGCACTTTAATTCAGTCTGGGGTGGAACCTGAGGGGTTTTTTTTCCCTTTCAAAAGAAGAGTTTTCTTTTGGCAGAAAACATTCATGGTAAGAAAAGCACTTTGGGAAACAGCACATAAAGAGAGTTTAAAAAGGGGGATATGAAAAGGATGGAAGAGTCTAGCAGCGACAGAGGTAATCAGAGAATTTACAAATTATGTTTTTTGACAATGTAGACAGCTTGAGGAGGCTGGCTTCTCTTTCGAGATAAAGTCACTTGTCATTCGGTTAGAAAAAGACAAGGGAAGTGTCAAGAGTTATTTGAAATGTAAAGTATTGTTTTTAGCTTCTTTTTCTTCCATTATTGTAGTAGCAGTATATTGTCTCTGTGGGCTGAGAGATGAAAATTGCACCAGATAGGGAGGGGCCTGTGGAGAAGAGCCTTTTGGGGGCAGCAGGTTATATCACCATCAAGATACAGGGACCAGGATGTAACAAAAGCAACAACAACAAGTCCCTGCGGACTGGAAAAGGGCCAATGTGGTCCCTATTTTCAAGAAGGGGAGGAAGGATGAGCCTGGCAACTACAGGCCAGTCAGCCTCACTTCTATCCTGGGGAAGGACTTTGAAAAAATTATCAAGGGCCACATTTGTGAGAGCCCTGCAGGGGAAGTGTGGTTGAGGGGTAACCAGCATGGGTTCGTGCAAGGCTGATCCTGCCTAACCTGGTCTCTTTCTATGACCAGGTAACAAAGAGCTTATGTGTGAAGGAGGAAGTCGATGTCGTCTTCTTGGACTTCCAGAAGGTCTTCGACACAGCATCCCACCCAATTCTGGTGGGCAAGCTGAGGGACTGCGGGATTGATGAATGCACGGTCACATGGGTGGCAAACTGGCTCCAGGGGCACACCCAGAGGGTGATGGTGGATGGTTGATGTCGACCTGGGAGGGTGTGGGCAGCGGAGTCCCCCAGGGCTTGGTCCTTGGGCTGGTGCTGTTCAACATCTTCATTAGCGACCTGGACAAGGGTGTGGAGAGCACCCTGTTCAAGTTCACTGATGACACCAAGCTGTGGGGTAAAGTGACTACACCGGCAGGCAGGGACCACATCCAGGCAGGCCTGGATAGGTTGGAGAAGTGGGCGGATCTGAACAGGATGCGGTTCAACAAGGACAAGTGCAGGGTGCTACACCTGGGGAGAGGGAACCCCAGCATTATGCATTATGGTTATAGGTTAGGGGCTGACCCTCTCGGCAGCACAAAGACAGAGAGGGATCTTGGAGTCAGGATTGACTCCAGGATGAATATGAGTTGCCAATGTGATGAAGCAATAGGCAGAGCCAACCGCACCCTGTCATGCATCAACAGGGGCATCACTAACAGGTCCAGAGAGGTCTTGCTCCCCCTCTATGCGGCGCTGGTCAGGCCGCAGCTGGAGTACTGTGTCCAGTTCTGGGCGCTGCACTTCAAGAAGGATGTGGAGAACCTGGAGAGGGTCCAGAGGAGGGCCACTCGTATGGTTGAGGGCCTCCGTGGCCAGCCCTATGAGGAGAGGCTGAGGGACCTGAATCTCTTCAGTCTCCGCAAGAGGAGACTGAGGGGGGATCTTGTGGCAGCAGGGACTCAGGGAAAGTCTGTTCACCAGGGCCCCCCTTGGAGTCACCAGGAACAATGGCCACAAGCTGAGGGAGGATAGGTTTAGGTTAGATATTAGGAAGAACTACTTCACAGTAAGGGTGGCCAGAGCCTGGAATAGGCTTCCCAGAGAGGTGGTGCTCTCACCTTCCCTGGACATCTTCAAGAGGAGACTGAACAGGCACCTGGCTGGGGTCTTGTGACTCCTCCCACCCCCAGTGTCATTCCTGCCCATGGCGGGGGGTCGGACTAGATGATCTGTCTAGGTTCCTTCCGACTCATTGATTCCATGATTCTATGAAAAAAAAACAACCCAAAAAAACCATCAGCACATGAAGCATGAAGGATGTGGAAACCAAGGATTAGCATGGGAAATATGAATTGCAGACAATCGTAAGGCCTTGCAGACAGTCGTAAGGCCACATGGGACACATCAGAACACAGGGCCCACATAAGAGAAAAAAAGAGCCTCAGGACATAGAGTTGAGGACTAAGGACAGCATAGGAAATAGGTATTACACAGACAGTAAACCATCAGATGACAGCACCAGTGTAAGGACATGAAGATATGGGGATCCGGGATGTCAATGGCTATGACAATATGGGACCACTGGCTTTTAGGGCCATGGATCCCATAGTAAAAGACTAATGTCAATAAAACCACTTTTCAGCCAAACCATACTTAGATCTGCCCGATCACTGCAGGCATTCAAACATAAAACAAGACCCCACATGAGCAGTAAGTATTTGCCCATCCCATCTGACCCCCAAGGACTTACTTGGATGGGTGTCTTAATCTGCCATTGATGGATTTATCATTTCTGCCAAGGCAAAGTATTTCTGCTTTGGCAGCTGATTCTTTGCTGGAGGAACCCCTTCTGTAATACTTCCCTACATCCTCTTGCACCACTCAAAAGCATCAGAGCAAGGGAATTTGTGATCAGCTTCTGCAGCACACTCACAAAATAGCTTCATTTGGCAATTTTCACCCCCCTCGCATGCCCTGACCTTTTCAGAGCAATCTTGCTGTCAAAATACACTTCCGAAATTCTTTCTCTGGGTACCCGAGAAATTCTCTGCCTCCCCCCCCCCTTTTTTTTTTTTAATGTAACAAGCTTCAAGTCAATTTTATATGCAGTGCCAGGCCTGCAATGAGCTGCTGCAAAGGAATGGCAGTGCTAATAGACTCCAAGCACACATTTCATGTATTCACCCAGGCTGTGTGAACTCAGCAGCCCTGAGAAAGTTGCTTCCCAGCCCCCCTTGGGAAAGCGCTCCCTGTCTCTCACTGGTTTTCAGTCTCTCTCCCTCTCTGTTGGCAAAGGTTAGCTGGAGAGGTATCACTTTGATGTCCATGGCAGACTCCAGCCTTGCCTCTTTAGCCTCTCCCTGTAATGGCTGCAGTTAGCAAAATAGCGCTGGTGACAGATAAGCATCTGGTAACCCATGGCAACCAACTTCCTTTAGAAAATGGCCTTCCTGTAATTTCATAAATGTAGTTTTTTTTTTCTGAAGAGGACAAAAAGGGAGAGCAAATCAAAAAGGTATCAGAGGCTGAATGGGTGTTGGTGCATATGTCTTTGTGTGCTCGCAAGTTTGCACATGCACATGTATTTTTTAATAGGGATGGTCCTCTTTGCAAATGTGTTTGGGAAGAGACCGACACCTGTTCACAGCTATGAGCTACAGATTCAGTCCAAGAGATGACACCAATATTTAGATAGAAAGACAGACAGTCAGACATGTGCATGAGTTACTACTGCAAGGTGAGGTCAATATATTCTCTTTCCAATTTGATTAAATGGGATAAATAGCCAGACAGGAAAAAGCAAGGTACCTGATAAAGCAGGGTAGTTAACTAAAGGTCATGCAAAATTGCATTGGAAACTGGTAGCTATAGAGAAGTGGCAACATGGAGGTAGAGTTGTTAGGAGTAGTTTCACTCTAGACATACAGGAGTAAGTTTTAATTGCTATAACTTGCAAAAGTCCCAACAAAGATCTTCCCCACAGCCCAAAGCCCTATCACATAGACACAGCTGTATCCATACCATAGCCAGCAATGCACCACAGATAGAACTAGCACCCCACCCCTGTGCCCAGACATGCACACACATACACACACACAGCCTCTACAGAGTAAAACACCACTTCACTCTCATCCAACTACCGCATTGCATACATATCCACCACAGATATACAGTGCCCTACTTAATGCTTAGGCCAGCACAGAGAGGCTGCATATATATCTGTTCTCTCCAAGCAATGCTTCTACCCAGTGGGTGGGTACCAGGATAAGGATGGAGCAGAGATGGGTACCAGAATGAGGATGGAGTTGGTGTGGGTGGCCGCCAGCTAGGGATGTATTTGAGGGAGGTGCCAGGACCGGAGTAGACACCCTGGCAAATCTTTATTCCCAAAGAAGCCCATAATGGCTATTTCAGGCTTTGGGACTGGTTTCACTAACTGTGAGATCTTGAAGACTAAAGGCATAAGCTGCCTCCCCTCTCTTCCTGCACAGGTTCCAGCTGAGAGATTAATCCAGCCAACACTACTAGAATTGCCTTTCCATCCCATGTTTGTAAATGGAGGCAATCAACAAAGCCCGAACTATAGGGAGACGGATGCTAACGGACTGTATTGACAGCATGCATGTTATTTCATGTATGCATTTTTTTTAAATTAACTTTGCCTTGAAATACATTTTCTATGGGCCAAATAATTGGATTTTCCTTTGTTAAAATAAGGGAACATAAATTACTCCTGTTGGGTGCAGATTAGGTTACGGGTTTTCTTTTCTTCTGTCACCATCAATGCCCCAGTGTCAGAGAGCTTTAATATTTAATGCATTCCTAATTAGTCTCCATTGGCCCAGGGCACTTAGCAAAACCTGACACCAACCATGGAGTCAAGTTCATTTAGAGAGCACAATTACGCAGGCATCATTTCCATATTGCAGCCAGCGCACCCAGGAAACTCCCCCTCCCCGCCCCAACTCATATTCACAATTTAATTAAAAAAAAAAAAATAGGGCTTGATTCCCAGTGACAATGGACACAAATTATCTCATTTGGTTGGGGCAGTGACATTTCCAAGACTCTTTTAATCACTAGGAAACTGTGCTGCATTGAACAGTGTTTACCGAAGGAAATTGCTGCTTGTGTCACTCTGACGGCTGATGCCTTGTTGCTTGCATGCTCTGAAGATTGAAGTTCATGCTTTCCCAATGCTCTGGCTGATCTTTTCAAAAGCCTCTGGAAGAAAAAAAAAATAAAGTTTAAATAAACTACTTGTCCGTGGAGATTTAGCCTTCAATCACCAGGCAAGTCAGCAGGGTGCAACACAGAGATTAGTCTGCAGCCACAGATCCCCCATACTGAGACAGTAATATAATAATTAGAATCTGTACCATGGTAAAGCCTAGAGACCCAAGGGAGGATTGGGCCCCATTGTGCTTGGCATTGTATAAAAATGTAGTGAGAGAGTCTCTGACTGAAAGAGCTTACAATCTAGACAGACAAGACACACACAAAACATAGCATGAAGAAGATGGAATCATTGGGTGTATCTACACCTGCAATGAATTTGAAGCAATAAACTCCAGAGCAGTTTGAGCAAGAATAAATTACTCCCGGGCACAGCGTCTACATGTGAGCCCAGGACAGCAGCAATTTGAGCAGGGGCGGATCAGCTTATGCTGGGCTGGAGGCACAGGGAGTCAGCCCCAGGCTTCGGTGGTGACATCGGGCCACGGAGGGGCTTGCTGGGGCATGAGGGTGCTAAAAGTGCGGAGCCATGTGTCTGGACAGCAGGCACAAGTCTTGCCTCCTGCTAGCTGGGCTAACCGGGCACAATTTATGCCTACAGTCAGTTTTCTATGTATATGTTTGATCATAGTGAATTACC